CTTGCAGGCTACCATCGTCATTTCATTAAGGGTTTTTCACAAATTGCAATGCCCTTGACTAAGTTGACTAGAAAAGATGCTCCATTTATTTGGACGAACGAGTATGAAATTGCTTTCCAGGAGCTGAAAAAGAGGTTGACCACCACACCGGTGCTCACCTTACCTGTTCCAACTGCTCCTTATACCTTGTATACTGATGCTTCTAAGAGGGGTTTAGGTTGTGTATTGATGCAGGAGGATCGAGTAGTGGCTTATGCCCCTCGACAGTTGAGACCTCATGAGGAAAATTACCCTACTTATGACTTGGAGCTTGCTGCTGTGGTATTTGTCTTGAAGATTTAGAGGCATTATCTTTATGGTTCTTCTTTTGAGGTCTTCAGTGATCATAAAAGTTTAAAATATTTGTTTGATCAAAAGGAGCTTAACATGAGACAGTGCAGATAGATTGAGTTTTTGAAGGATTATGACTTTAAGTTGAAGTATCATCCAGGGAAAGCTAATGTAGTCACCGATGCTCTGAGCAGAAAGCTTGTACATACTGCTCACATGATGGTCAGAGAACATGAATTATGGAGTAGTTCCATACAGTAAATGTAGAAGTAGTCGAGAATCATTTGGCTGCTCTACACATTACTGAATTTGAGAATAATTTTTGAGAAGAAATCAGAATTGCGCAACATAAGGATGATCATTTAAATAAGATTAGAGTAGATATTGGGGCTGGAAAGGCTGAACATTTTGATGTGACCAATGATGATGTCGTGAGATATAAAGGTAGAGTGTGTGTGCCTAATGATGCTCGATTGAAAAATATCTTACTTGAGGAGGCTCATCAGAGTAAATATACCATTCACCCAGGAGCAATTAAGATGTATCATGACTTAAGACGTGGTTGGTGGTGGCCAAAGATGAAGAGAGATGTAACTGAACATGTAACTCGTTGTTTGACTTGCCAGAAAGTCAAAATTGAGCATCAAAAACCAGCCGGAATGCTACAGCCTCTTGATATTTCAGAGTGGAAATGGGACAGCATTTCTATGGACTTCATTACAGGATTGCCTAGAACATCTTCTGGTCATGACACTATATGGGTAATCGTAGATCGACTCACCAAATCAGCTCATTTTCTTGCTACCAATCTCACGTATTCTCTTAAAAAATTAACTGAAATCTACATAAGAGAAGTGGTGAGATTGCATGGAGTGCCGAAAAATATCGTATCTGATCATGATCCGAGGTTCACATCAAACTTTTAGAAGTCATTACAGGAAGCCATGGGTACTCGTCTGAGTTTTAGCACCGCTTACCACCCTTAGACCGATAGGCAGACAGAACAAACCACACAGACTCTTGAAGATATGTTGAGGGCTTGTGCCATTGAGCTTAGAGGTAATTGGAATAGTCACTTGCCATTAGCTGAATTTGCCTACAATAATAGTTTTCATTTTAGCATTTAGATGGCACCTTATGAGGCATTGTATGGAAGAAAATGTAGATCGCCACTGTGTTGGACAGAATTAAGTGAGAGAACTGTTTTGTGGCCAGACATTGTTGATGAGACTACCCAAAAGATTGCTTTAATCAAGCAAAAATTACTCACAGCTCAAAGTAGACAAAAGAGTTATGCAGATAAGAGGAGAAGACCGCTTGAGTTTGAAGTAGGTAACCATGTATTTTTGAAAATCTCTCCGGTAACTGGTGTTGGAAGAGCTGTTAGGGCTAAGAAGTTGACACCAAGGTTTATGGGGCCTTTTGAGATCTTAAAATGAGTTGGACCAGTAGCGTACAAAGTAGCATTACCACCCCAAATTGCTGGTATACATAATGTATTCCATGTGTCACAACTGAAAAAGTATCAATCAGATCCTTCCCATATAATTGAACCCGAGGAGATTGAACTCAGGGAGAATTTAACATTCAGAGCTGAACCAAAAGAGATTGTGGATTATAAGGACAAGCAATTAAGAAACAAGACCATTAGATTGGTTAAAGTAATCTGGAAGAGCACAACTCCAGGTAATGCTACGTGGGAGACCGAGGACAGTATGCGACGTGATTATCCTCGTCTTTTTGATTAAGTAAGTAGTTAATAGTTACTAACTTTAAATTTTGAGGACAAAATTTCTAAAAGGAGGGGAGAATTGTAACATCCAAATTTAAATTTTAATAGTTAATTTGAGTTAATAAAAATTTAAAAAAATAATATTTAGAGGTAAGAAAATTAGTAAGAGATGATTATTAAATCTAACTTAGGATATAATTCTTAAAAAAAATTTAAAAAAATAATTAAAAAAATAAAAAAAATATTATTAAATTATTATTATAATAAAAAAAAGGGAAAAGGTATTAAAAAAAGGGGGGAAGAAGAAGAAGAACAAAATTGCTTTCGGCCGCCGCACAACAATCATTATGTATATAATAATAATAAAGAGAGAGAGAGAGAGAAAAAAGAAATAATAAAAAAAATGTGGGGGATCCACTGAATTTTTATAAAAACTCACCTGTTCCTTCGTTTCTTCATTCATTCCTTCGTGTGCGCTAAGGCAGAGAGAATGCGAGTCGCCGATGCGAAATATCTAAATTTTTAAAGTAAGAGTTTTTAATAGGATATTTAGGGTGTAATTTTAAGCTTTTCAAGACTAAGTAAGTGTTCTAAAAAATTTTCTTAGTCATCCTTCTTCTTTGGTTTCTGAGTTTGTAGTGGTAAAAAATTTAAGATCTGGAAGAGGGATGAATTTATGTTGAATAAATATAGTTTTTGAGGTTGTCAGTAGTATAATAAATGTTCTAGAGTATAAATTTGTTGATGATCTTTGAATTTGTGACTTATGGATTAAATTCTAAACTAGATCTGAAAATATATGTTGATTTATTGAGGTTTAGATGATTATTTGGGATGAAAAATGAATTATTATGGTTATAGGATTATGATTCTAAGCTGGAGACTCGATTTTTAATTTTTGAGTATTTTAGGTACGAATTTATGAAATAAAAAGAAAATTTTGATAATAGAAATTAGTTTAGAAGTTAATTTTTAGATTATTAATATTTATTGATAATTAAAAGAGGAGTTAAAAATTTTACTTAATAGCATTAACTATACATTTGTATTAAGATTGAGATTAGGAATTATATTATATTTTTAATTCTATTATTAGAATTATTTTATTAGTTTCAAAAATTGAAACTAATATTTATAAATACTATATTATTTATAGATTGTATTACTGGTGAAGATTGTGGTGAGAGAGAAATTTTAAGGAATAATTTATTGAAAAAGCCACAAGATAACCATGCTTTTAATTTGTGATTAGTGTTACTTCATGTTAATTGGGTGATTATTGAGAAAATTATGAATTTTGTAATGTTGTATAATTGTGCAATATTATTATGAATTTGTTTAATTATTGTGAGAGGTGTTGGAGACTTGCTATTATTGTTGTATTTATGTGCCATGTGGTACGCCCCTATTGAAACTCAATAGGTGGCTTGTAAGGGCTCGGGCTAATTTACCTTTGGTCAGGTAATTTAGCACCGAGTGAAGGCTACGGCTCGAGGTTAATAGAGAGATATAAGGATGGTTGTTTGTATGTATTGTAATATTTCTTATATTTGTTGAAATTATATTATTTTTAATTTTCACTTAGTAAGCACACACTTAACTGTTTGTATACACTATCATAAATTAGCTTTGGTTACTGGGACTTTTGAGTCTCATTATGTGGTTAACAATTTTCAGGAGAAGAGCCACGAGTGACATGTGGAGGAGTCCCAGAGGTTTAGTGGTATAGATCCTCTGTCTCTTTTGAGTATTTAATTTATGATTTATAATGTGTTATATTGTCAATATTAGGGCTTTTTGTTTATTGTCAATTATATGAATATATAAATGTAATCATGCCTTTCAAACTATTTTTATTTTTGATATAATTTGGATGACTGTAATTTTAATATTTGGTTTACTTTAGATTGGTTAAAATGGCATGATTATAAGGCCAAATAACTGGCTTGTGTTGAAAATTGACTAAATTGCTTATTTTACTTGTTGGGAGTATAAGGATGGATAAATGTGATTTAGTTTACTTGTTAGGAGTATAAGGATGGACAAATGTGATTTAGCCTAATGGCATGTGGGAGGTAAAAATTTATCTGAAATGTTATAGTGTGTGAGTTGAAGCCAATTATAAAATATTTTATATTGAAATTATTGATACAAGAATGTATTGGGTGGCTGTAACCCAATTATGATTGAGTTAAATTATTTTAAAAAAAAATTTGGTGTGTTACAAAAAGAACATTATTTGGGCTCAAGTGATTTAGCAGGTATATTTTTTGTATAGTCCATACCATTAAATATAAAATTTTCCAGCCCAAAATAGGTTTTACACAACTCCATTTTCAGCCCAAATGACATTTTGACGTGCTCAACATTGTGCATGGAAAGTATTGTCTAAAAGAAGATAATTCCTTAAATAATGCTCAATTTTTTTGAGAGATTAGTCACATAACTGTCGGCTGGAGACATACTTTAAAAAACCAAAAAAAAAATTCCTATTCAATTTTTTTGGCTGAATTGCCCATAAGCATTGGTCCTAATAGAATGAATTTTAGCTGTTTAAATATGATGTCTCAAGTTTAAATTTATATAAATATAAAAAACATATTTGAGAGAACTGTCTTAAGTAGACACGGCAATGCTTAAATCTAACCAGTCAAGTAATCATATCTAACAAGAATCTGTTGGCGCTAGTACTGTTTCTATATTATAGGACATTAAATAGATTTTTTTTTTTTGGGCTTTCAGCTGGATTAACTCCCTAGTTAGTTCATCGATCCAAGTGCTCGTTTGTAAATAGATAAATATTAAAAAAAAAACCTTGGACATTAAATAGATAAATATCCTTAAAAAAAAACCTTGGACATTAAATAGATAAATATCTTTAAAAAAAACCTCGGACAGTAAATAGATAAATATCTGTAAAAAAAAAAGACCTTGGACATCACGAAAACTAATAATTTTTCTTCACACAACAGAAAAGTACGCTACAACCACACATGAACTCTATTTCTACAACACAACAAAAAAAACGAAAAACACCTAAAACAATGACATACTAATTAATTACACACACAATTAATAATTAAGAACATAGAATTATCTATTCTAAAAGTGCAGCCTTGAGGACCTCAACAAGCTTAAGGTGTGCAGTTAATTGAGGGAAATGTCCCACAGCTTCTATGACCTCCAAATCACACTTGCCTTTAATTTTCTTGGCTAAGTACAGAGCCACACTGTGTGGGACGGCCATATCATAAGAGGGCTGGATCACAGTGCAGGGGATCTCAACCTTCTCAAGCCACTCTCTATTGTCACTAAGAAACACTGTCTTGGCCAGTGGTAGTGCCGTTTCGCCTCCCATTCTCAGCAAGCTCTTCTGGAACTTCTCCCTCGAAACGGCATCGTTTGGATCGATCGCCATCGAAGAGAAGCTGTAAACCCAATCCTCATAGTTGGTCTCTATGGATGTCAGTAATTGCTTAATGTCTTTCTCTGTAAACCCACCTTCATATCCCTCTGTGTTTAAATATCTATATACATATATATACGACAACAAACAACGTATAAGAATCAATATATAATTACTATTAAAATATTTATAATGACAAAATTAAAGGCACAATTAAGAAAGCTTATAATTGAGTCAAGTAAAATATGTTGTGCTGTACTCATAGGCGTTGGTCCCTAGTAGGAGAAGGGTTGTGTCTGTTTAAACATGAGATCTTAAATTTGAGTTCATGTAAGTGTAAAAAAAATTTTAAAATGTTATTTCCAATTGGGTCTAACAATTATCTAAGTGTCCGAGCAAATAGTTATAAAAATATATTTTGTGTTACTCAAATGAATATACAATGAAATTTCTTACCTTTGGTAGGATGGGAGGGGATGAAAGACTAATAAATTTCGATTTTATAAAAATGTATAAGTAGAATTATAAAATTTTAATGAAGATAAGATATATAAATTAAAATAATAAGAAAAATTAATTAAAATTTTTTAAAAGCACTTCTTATTTTAATTTTAAATCGATGAACTTATTGAAATCTTCCTGATCCCCTTCTATTTCCTTCTAACCAAATAGACCCTAAATCATGATATAGTGAAATTTCATGCATGTATAAAGTAATAATTTCTTAGGAATTATATGAATGAAGCAATATCCATGATTTAGGGTTTTTTTTTTGTTCTTATGATTAATAAATCTGCATTAATTACTGTCAATTACTCGTTATCACATATAATTTATATATATATATATATATATATTGCACTCTCATATGTGATTAAACAACTCTAGTGGAGCTTTTGCAGATCATGAAATATATACGGTTGGCCGGCAAATTAAACTAAATATTGGTTGTTAAATGTGAGCAAAAAAATTCAATTAATTTGATTTTTCTAAAATAAAGTTAAAGTATATATCAAATTCAAAGTCAGCAAAATAGAGATAGAGATAGAGATAGATAGATAGATAGATATATATATATAGAGAGAGAGAGAGAGAGGAAAGTGATGTTTTGTTTTGAGAATATATTGAAATTGTTGAACTTGTGTGGCCTCACTCTACTATCCTGTTTTATTTGTCTGCATGTCCCATGTATTTTGCGTGGATGCAACTAATCCATTACCTCAATAAATGAAATTCAATTAACTACTTAGCTCAAATGAAAAAGACTCCATATTTATTTATTTTTTACAAAAAATCTAACATTTGGAGGTTTAAGAATTAAAAATTTTTGAAAATTATTTTTTCCTAATTATTTTGAAATCTCACATTATTACTTGAATCTAAATCAATTATATTAGACAAAAAATGTTTCTTAAAAATTAATAAAATAGAAGTACATGCACAAGACCTTGAAGCTTCTAAGTCCATCCGAGACCACATGTATTGATTGGTCCACGTGTGTGTGTAGATATAGATATATATATATGTGTGTGTGTGTGTGCGCGCATCTATCTATCCTAATAATATAGAATTTATTACTCTACAATCAAAAATTGTTGGCCAGAAGTGGATTAGGTGTGTTTCCACTTAATTATTCTCCTTTCCGTTATTAAAATTTAAACCTATATTGACTCCTTCATAGTACAGTTCCTATATATGGAGAATCTTCTTCTAAATCAGAACCATGAAAAAAAAAAAAGAATTATTTTCTACAATTTTAAAACTGCTGGTTGAACTGGAAAGAGACAAAGGAAAACACAAGAAGAACATCGATTTAATTTGGTGCAAGCTGGAGGGTACTATTAATACAAATATACGCTAGTGATGATGGATTGTTAAAACTTTAGCTTCGTTTGCCATCATAATTTCAAAAATTTTCATTTACATTTTATCATTAAACTTACTCAAATTCTTTTATCCACTGATTCCATTTTACAGTAGCTTAATGCTAATAAAAATAAATAACAAGTGAAACAAAGCCATATATATATATATAATACGTGTGTGTGTGTCCTGTACTAAGTTTGAGTGCTTTGACTAGGATGTATAAGGATTAGATTAAATCATGAAAAAGAAAATTAAACATCATCAAAGGTTTGAGTTATAAGAACTAAAATGAAAAATAGAACACGATTAAAGAGAAAAATAATTTGCATAAAAAAAACACAAACTACTAAGAGGCACAGAAAGAAGAAACAACGCCCCCCCCCCCCCACACACACACACAAACTGACTATATCTATTATTTTCACCAAAAAAAATGACTATATTATATGCATCAGACTGGTACGAAGAAGTAACAAATATGCAAACAGAAGAAAAAGATCCCTGATCAAGCGTCTCCGGGATTTCAATGAATCAACCCAGTTGTGTGTGTGTGTGTGTGTGTGTGTGCGCGCGCGCGCGCGCGTGTGTGCAGAGAGAGAAGAAGAAGAAGATGTGTGTGTGTGTGTGTGTGTGTACCTTGGGGAACCACACACGAGGATGAGCTTCTTGAAGAGGTGAGGCTGCGTAACGGAGGCAATGCAACCGATCATGGCGGACATGGAGTGGCCGGCGAAAGTGACGGCTTTGAGGTCCATCTCCGTCATGAGATCGATCAAATCGTCGGCGAAAGCTTGGAAGGAGTCGTACTTTTCGGGGCTATATCGGGTGGTCGGGTCGTGGACGGCGCCGGAGAAGGGCCAATCGAAGAGAACGAGACGATAGTGAGGGGTCAAGAGAGGCACAATTTTCTCCCAAATAGACTGGTCTGTGCCGAAGCCATGAGCCAGAACTAAGGTCTGTTCAGACGAAGCAGACCCTATGGTGGTGACATTCAAAGCCCTAGAAAGACCCCTCTCTGGTGTCACCATGGCTGGTTTTTGAAGAAGCAGAAAGAAGACGATATGAGGAAGAGAGTCTCCGAAGCAGACAGAGAGAGAGAGAGAGAGAGGGAGGGAGGGAGGGAGGGACTGAGACAAAGCAAGCTGCTTCTACCAGAATGTGTGGTTTTGCTTCTTGTTGGCCACATCTATTTATAATCCCACAATAATACATATATAACTGAAAAAAAAAAAAAATATATATATATATATATATATAATATTACTTTTTCCAAAATAGGATAGAGAGAAAAGATTTTTTTTGTCTCATTTATAAATAACATCATTAAATTTTTATTATAAATTTTTTTATCTTTTATTAAATGGTAGAGAGAGAATATGTTGTTTAATTATGTATATTTAATTTGAACAAAGTTAAAAACTTATTTAATTTTTAAACTTTATGATTTAATATAGCATTGGTGGAATATATAGAAAGTGACTTATAAATAAAATCACAAGAATATTTAATTATGAGTGCTTATTACCACTACCCCTCACCGTCTCAATTAATAAGACCTTTTTTTGATAAAATTATTTTCTTCAATCTAAAATATAAACAACTTTCAATAATAATACACTTACTAATAAATTATTATTCTCACGTGAGTATATATACATTACCCTTAGTTCCCATATACGACCTACCAATGAATTAAATGAAGGGATATATAAGATTATAATATATATATATATATATATATATATATTTTAATACATATATCGATAGACAAAATAAATTTTCTAAAAATTAATTTATAAATATTAACTTAAATAATTACATATTCAGAAGTCAGATAAATTATTTAAGTTTTAAGTGTAAATTTTAATCTGCAACTGAAATATTTTTTTTAAATTTATGATTGTTTGAATTTATATTTATAACTTAACTTTTTTAGAAAAATTGTATCTAACTATCATAAATTAAATTTTTTGAGCATGTGATATCATTCTCCCATGAATGAAACATGGAAGTATTACTTATTATTCCCTCATTTAATATTGTAAGCCATTTTTTAAAGTACCATATTCAAAAATATAAAGATTTTTGATTCTTTAAAAGTGAATACTCTTTCCATTTAAAAATATAAGAAATTTTTAATAGGATCTTGTTCCTAATAAAGTAGTTAATTATTTATAAATTATCACCATCTTTCTATATTTACCCTTATTTAATATTATGTTTTACTTTAAAATAAATATAAAATTAATTTATTTATTGTGGGCATTTTGAAAATAGCACAATAACTATATTTATATTTTTTATTATCTAAACTTTTAAAAAATGTATTATATTCTTTAATAGAGGGACTATAATTAACAAGATTTTTTCAAGAATACATTTAATTAGGGGATATAATTAATAAAATTTTTAATTGAATTACATCATATTAAATAATGATAAACACGAGAAGAGTATATAATTTTAAATATAATCAACTAATTTATTTTTATAAGGGATGCAATCTTTGGTCCAAAAAAAGGGATGCAATCCACTAAAAGCTTATAATGGATGCTGCATTTTCAAGTGCCGTGAAAATTAGCTATTACTACTACCACTACAAAAAAAGAAAAAAAAAAACATTACTTTAGAGGCATTTTTTCTTTGCTTTAGAAACCACTAAAAGTGCTTTTGGCAATTTTTTAAAGACAAAATATAATATTTAGCTCTTATAATATTATCGGATTTTATTTTTAATTCATATATTTTTTTAATTTTTTTAATCCTTATAATTTTAAAAAAATTGAGTGACTTTATTTTTTAAATTTTTATTTTTTAGTAATTTTAATTCTTATAAAAATTGAAAATTGATAACTTCTTGTGACACCGAAAGAGCGGGGGAGTACAATTTTATTTGTTAAAAGTTTAAAACTCACACGCAAGCACTTTGGATTGCTGACCTGAGAGGTTATTTTTTTTTTTGGCCAAAAACTGACTTGAGAGTCGACAAGTCCTTTTTTTCTTTTTAAATTGCCACGACTGTTGACCAGTGCTTAATTGTTCACAAAAGTCGCATTAAGAATTGTCCTAATTGAATTTTCTAAACAAATTTTTAAGCACTGACTTAAAAAAAAAAATACTTCCTCCATTAGTAATTCAAGACAATCAAGCTAAAACAAACCAGAATTTATAGAAAAGTCTGATTAAGTTCAATTCGAACTTCTTTAGGCTTTAAGCTCGTATGAGTTAGGCTGAATATTTAAATTATTAATTTTTTATTTTTTAAATTAATTTTCATTTAATTTTTAATTTAACATTAATTATTTTTATTTTATAAAAAATATAAATTATATTTTTTAAAAAATTTAAAAGATGTATAAGACTCAAATTTCTTTTTAAAAAATATGCAGGTCTTAAAATTTAAAAATTGATATTAAAATATATTTTTAAAAATTATTTTGAGATATTTTATAGGTTAAAAATGATAAACATTTGATAAGGTAAATATTTTAAATTTTTTAAGAAAATATTTATAATAATGTATTTAAACATATGATATCTTAGTATAAAATAACCTAAAATTTAAATGACTAATTAATGTTTGATGTATTTTATATATTTTTAAAAATGAATTTTCATACATGAGTATCTGGGCCAAGCCAACCTGAATGGGTCTAAACATTAAAAAAAAAATCATTATTTTGTTCAGCCCCACCATAAATTTTTTGAATTTATTTGAGTTTGTCCAAATTATTGGTTTTTAAGTAGTTGGATGTTAAAAAAATATAATGCATGTTTAGTGTTTCAAAATGTAATTAATATGTTTTTTTTTTCAAAAGTGATAGATAATAAGTAAATTATTTTATATTTATTTTAAAGTAAAATACTCTATAAAATAAGAAATAATATGAAAAGATAGTATTAATTTAAACACAAGCAACTATTAAAAGGTAAGATTCGATTAAAAATATCTTATATTTTTAACTAAAAGTAATAAGTCATATCTTTTTCTTTTCTTTTGAGCGACTTAGGAATTCGCTGATTTCATGGCTCTTACGTTTAATTGATTTTCCTTATGAGCACGCTTTATTTGTGTTTACAATATTCAACGAATATTTTATATATATATATATATATATATATATATAAGAAGAATATTACACATACACACTATATACCCCTTCTTTTCACCCCATTTATGTAATAATATCATATCATTTATGATTTATTTAATCACTTTCTTTAATTTGTTCATGCGAGTTCAATATTTGCCTCACTATTTTTTAAACTAAGAATTGAAATATGTCACATCTAAATTAGACAAAAGTTAACCATTTTAATTAAAGTAAAAAAATGTTCACTAACTCTCACGAGAAGATTATAAATAATTCAAAAAAAAAGTGTACACATAATTCATTCTTTTTTGGCTAAATACATAATTCATTATTCGAATCACTCATTTAATTTTCTTACATCAATCAAATACAAATATATATATATATATATATATATATCTAGAATTAATTTCAATGTACATACTCTTTTTTTTTTATTAGAGGAAAACAAAATCTATCTATAGCAATCCACCGAAAGCTTATTTTGGATGTTGTGAAGGAGCCAATCTCGCCATGTTATAAGGGGTCACCAATTTTCTTAATAAATGTTTGGCATCACATGTAGGAAATAAATTTTATTTTTCATCATCTATATGTAATATAAAATTAATAGTAAATTATATATACAATTCATTAGTCATAAATAGTGCAAATTAATTTATATTTCGTGAAGACGGTCTTCCTCATAATCTAATTGAAACAAGTCCAAAATTGTGATTGGATTGAGTTTGAGTTTCTTGTGAATATAAATTAATCATATTAGAAGGGCCTTCTCTCAGCCAAAGCTTGATCTAATTTTGAAATAAGTCAGAAAAGAAATAAATGGGATCTGAAAAAAGTATTGTACTAACTAAACAGCTTTTTCCATGCACACACAAAAAGACGATAATAATAATGAGTACTGAATACAAAATATTTCTTAAATTTAAATAGAATAAATCTCAAATAATAATATTTCATGACAATAAGTACAAATCCCAATAGAATAAATCTGATCAATAGATAATATATTATAACACTCTCCTTGAATTCAAAATGCCCTTGAGTTTACAATAATTTTAATTTTAAATTAGTTATTAGTAATATTAAATATCGGATGTTCACCATAATGAAAAAGATTATTTTTTATGTTGTACTCCCTTCGATCCTATATGTTTAACGCTTTCTAAAAGCATAATTTAATTCACTTTTTGAACTACTAGGTGATGTGATTGTGTTATTTTAAATTAAAATTTTCAAACTATCTTTGATATATTTTTTGTTTGTTACTTGAGAGTTATTTTTAAATTTTGTTTATTTTTATTTCTTAAATTTTTATAGTATTAATATTAATGAATTTAATATAAATAATTTATAAATAAAATTAAAAGAATATAATACTGTATGATGAAACAAGCCGCATAGTGAGAACAATTAAACGACAAAGAAGGCTTTTGGATTTGGTGATGAATATGTTTGTGATGGTTGGACAGCAAGTTTGGCAAAAGTTGAGGTGTGAATCGAGATTGTTGGCCGATAATGTTGAGGGATGTCCCTAGCGTAGCTGGCAAACCGTTCATAATAGATCCTAAGAAGATTCTGTTCACAAAGCTTTTTGCAATGATTTTCGTCTTTGAATTATCGTCCTTTGCAATTCTTAATTTGTTTGACAACATTTATCCAATTCTTCCACTTTCAGTTTCACTTTACAATACATTCTTGCATAATTTGATATATTATTTCATTCATATTCTCTTCAATAAAAATATATTATATCATATTATTATAAATATAAATTGATATCAACATTGATAAATGATAGAGAGATAAAAGACTAAAAATTAAATAGGTACTATTTTTAAAAAGTAATGATATATTATATTTTATTTAATTAATTATGTTTTTTTTTATTGGATAGAGCATGCATAATATAGTGCATAGGTTTAATTTATGTAAGAATTTCTCTTACTTTACTCTCTCTTCCTAATTGTAAGTTAAAGTTGTAAAGCTTTGGTTCATTATAAATATAGAGCAAAGA